ACATTTAGAATAGATTAATGACTGTAAAGAAGGCCTTCCTTTAACGAAAAATATTTATCACCAATTGGATTCAGTCATGTGAAATTTTATTTAAAGTATGAAAATGTTTTTATAGGGTTTTTTGGGGGGAAGGAATTATTTCGTACAGTTTTTTAAGGAAGGGCTGCGGTACTTGATGTAATCACACCGTTGCTAGTGAGATTTACTGCTTCTTCTAGGAGCCATGACCAATCTGGGCGGCTTCTTCAACCAGCTAGAGGCGAATCTGCGCTTTGCAGAGCAGTCGCAACTCGGCGAGTCAGAAACGCGACTGCTGGAGGGGAAGCATCCGCACCCACTGCACCTGCCGCCCATGCCGCCCGACGGCACGGATGATCCCGCCCAGCAGCAGGAGCACGACCGGAAGACATCGAAGCTCCTGCAGGCCCTGCGCAGCTACAGACCCTCCCAGAAGATCCGATCGCTGGTGTCGCGCAATCCGCAGGGATATCGCGGCTCCCAGTTCATAGACCCCAGCTACATGTGGCTGGGTCTGGGAAAATGACAGTGAGTGCTTCGGAACCACGGAACCTTAAGCCAACATCCATCAATAGGTAACTAAGTAGCTGCAACGAATGCCGCCCCAAAACAATGTTTAAATTATGCCCTTTGTGTGTGTAGAAAATATATTTGAATGCCTATCAGATCAAAAACACAAAAAGATTGTTTAAGTGGAATGGGAGGTATGTAAAGGTTTTCCAAAACAACAGTCTAGTACGGACTATACCAATTCAATAAGATTTCTGTAAACATTTTAAATCTTATTGCCATCAGCATGATATTACTAGCGCTGCTTTTTTCCAGGATATAACTATACAAAGAATTTAAGGTCATTTGTAATCTGTTAATCATCAACCACGGATCTATAAATTTATTATGTGTCCATTAAGATACATTTTCTTGAAAAATACTTTATTTGCAAAAGATTCAGTTAGTTAATATTTATATTAAAGTTGTAGTTTAAAATTATTGGTGGCAATAAAGCTTTTTTGGCTGTTGAAATTTTCATAGTTATATCGCTACAACTAAGATTTCAATAGTTATACGAAATAATTGTTTACTGTGCAGATTTTTCGCATTCTCTTGGTTTTATTAAAAAAAAAGGGAAGTGACATTATTTTTCGATTACAAAAATTTGACAAAATATTTTTAAAATAGTTATTGGCTTAGTTAGTAATTAATAGTTATGTAATGGCTTTGTGATAGTAGTAAATTCTATATCAAATTTAGGATCAGGTCTTTTAAATATGAAAGATGCCGGGGCCTTTCCGAGTGTCTGGATATTCTTAAAAAGTAAGTAAATCCCAAAGTAAAGATACCAGTCTATCACTGAAACGAGAAAATAAAATACATGGAATATAAGCAGTCAGTCAGAAGTAATTCAGTGTGATAAACGGTAGACTAACCAAGAAAAGTCGCGTGGAAAAAAAAAAGTATCAAGAGAAATATTAAGGACACATGGTAGTGTACAGCAACATAAGTCAATTCTGCAATGCAGACGACAGTCCACAAGGCCAGGAGCAACCCATTGGTTATCAGCCACGGAAGCATGAGCAATCGGTTTTTCTGAAAATATAAAATTCCATATATTTGTCAGTATACCAAGCTTAACTAACTTAAATAATAAACATACACCTCTTAGTTTGAAAGTTTTAAAGCACGTCCTCAAATAACAACTACGACGTAAAAAAGTTAGGTGTTACAAATATTTTAACATTTACCACTCTTATTTGTTTTTATTCCACTCAAACGCACAAAAAATCGATTGATAAAATTAACCAATACAATAGTAAAACGGTCCCCAGCCATAGAATTGTCAATTTTTACTCTTACGTAATACGTAAACGTAAGGGTTACTATAAGAAATAGTTTTGAAACTATAAAAAAGGGTATTCTGGACCCAACCCATTGATTGTAGTTAAATAACTAGTTTTATAGTTATCCAATTGAATTTCTTACAGTAAATATATACCTATACAGTTATTAAAGTTATTAATAAAATTAATAGATAGATAGCATGGCAATTTATAAGCAAAAGAAAAAACAGTTAATCTTCAAATTGTCATTTTTAAAAGTGACTTGCAGCTGGTGTAAAATTATGTTAAGGCTTTTGGGAATATATGATTTCGTTAAGACATAACTTTAAGAGTTTGACTTCGGACTCCAGGTGTATGAGGCGCTACCCCCAGTGGGTAATTTTAAACAACGCATTGAAGAAAATTTGTAAAACTATTGTTGCATACTTTTGTTTGAAAGATATTACGTTCGGATAACTATTTTTTATATTTTTGTTGTGTATTTTGTTTATATTAATAAGGACATTAGTCACTGGGATAAGCCTTTCATAATCTTTAAGGGTTAGTTTGGAATAGAAATGGAGTACCATCCATTATAAGCTCATGACTTACCTTTATGGTACCCACGGCCAGCAAGACCGAAGCCACAAAATTGACTACTAACACAGTCAAAAAAGCAAAAAGACTTGAAACAAGTCCTGAAAAACGTAAAATAATAGATTTTTTGACCTGTGCTGACACTTCCCAGTTAAATCTTACCAGTTCTAAGATGTGTGATTTGTAGTTTCTTCATAAAACTGCATTCCTTTTCGAAGGTGGCTATGTTCAAGACAGTGCAAACGGACGTAATGGAGGTCAATAAATTTAAAGCCTTATCGATAGCGCCTGAGTAGAGGACCACCGAAGAAATAACTGCTCCCAAGACAGATACAAAACCGCATACACAACTAGTAAGTATACCGTAAGTTCTCAACGACATGTAGCACACTGAGGTCAACATTTTTTGAACAATTTTGATTGTCACTGACTTTTTAAATAAGGAAAGAAACACAACCTCTTTAGTCTGCATGTAACGCAAAACTAATAAGTATAGAATTTAATTAATTTAAATTTCAACTTGTAATCGTGTTTCAAACGGGGTGATACAGAAATATGAAATACTAACCGAAAGTCATTCTAATTCGGCTGCAGTCGGGTTTGAAAAGTTTTGTATCCCTTTATCACAAATTTAAATATGTATCATTACTTATACCCGTTACTCGTAGAGTAAAGGGGTATATTGTATTCGGGGAAAGTATGTAACAGGTAGAAGGAAGCGTCTCCGACCCCATAAAGTAGGATAAAGGATCACTAGGCAAGTCGATCTAGACATGTCTGCCTGTCCTTCTGAACGCGGAGATATCGGAAACCATAAGAGCTAGAGAGTTGGAATTTCAAAGTCGGACCGAGTCATTCCTACCTTGGGTGCTGCTAGTTTTTCCGGCTTGGCATGGGCCTGGTTGCTGTGACCTTCTTCGATGGGGATGGGGTACCTCCGCATGTTGTGCTCTCGTTACACTCAGAAAAAAACACCGTGCTAAAATTAAGTACAAACAGTCTTGATTTAGGAACAATTTCATGCTTTCCATTTAAAGACCGTTTGTACTGAAAAAGGCCTTACATTGAGCACTTTTTGGAATTAAATATCTGTCAACTCTAAAAATTCTTAACTGTTTATTTCGAAAGTGCTCGGAATACAAGGCGCATGAAATACACACTGTTGAGCGGCAACTCGTAAGTAAACTTATAATATTAATGTAATTTCGATATATCTTGTTTATTTCATTTTAGTTTCCAGTACATATTTCTCTTAGTAGCTTATAATTAAACCACAATTTAAATTTAAAATATATATGTATATTGATTTAAGAATTATTCCTCCTTAAATCATGCCTGCAACTTTCTAACTTTATTAACAAATCGTACTTGTTTTTAGTACAAATATGACTAGATTTAAGAGTTGTTCTTACTTGATTGTATACCGAAAGGTTCTAAAGCGTACTTTTTTCTCGAGATTGTCTTTGTACCCGTACTGCTGTTTGCGCCGGAGACCTTCCTTTTTTTTCCACACTGACCTTGTCAGGACCAATGATTATGAACAAGCGCACACTACAACTAGTTGTATATCGCAGACCAGCCTGTGTGCCCGAGCTCCGTTGATCCTGGTTTCGGTCTACCCCCTTTGTCTACTGGGTAATACCCCGCTTGTTGCATAAAATGGCCCATAGACCAAATCTTTGTTCTTGCACAACCCTATCTTCTGCCGAAAAGTTTTAAGAATAATTTAATTACTGGATAGCTTTGCCATTATAACATGATTTAAAATGTCAAGTGTCACAAATGGTGAAGCTTTCCTGTTGGCCTGGATCTTCTTGAAAACCAACAAGTTACTGAAAGAAGAAAATACAGGAGATCCTCAACGGGTCTGGGGGTAATTCACTGTGAAGAAAGGCCGCGAAGACAAAAAACGTTATCGGAGAAGTTTTGGCGACACATGGTAGTGCCAGCAAGGCAAGTCCCTATTGCAATACAGCATTGTTTATCAGCAACGGAAGCATGAGCTGAGGAAATTTCTAAAACTCTTAAAACCCCACATATTTGTCTTTATACCAAGCTGAAATATTATTCTACTACGAGGAATAATATGCAAATAAATAGGGTACTTAAAAAAAAAAGTATAATAGTAAATAAAATGTTGATTGCAAATTGTAAAAGGTAAGATGTAAAAAAAAGAGTACTTAGATTATAAGTAAGAACCTAGTTTAAGATAAGTCTTTGACTTGCCAAACAGTACATTCCAAAAATCCATATCGCAATGATGTCAAAAGAACCAGAAACCACCCATTGTTTATCATTTAGGAAAGGCATGAGCAGATGGAAGCGGAAACCAATAAAGCTAGACAGTTGGGACTAAGCTGCAGAATCTAGATTCTTGTGCAGCGCAAGTGTTTTTCAGCTGGGTGCCACTCCCCCTCTAACGCCCACAAGCGCTCATATCGTTTCTATGGCAGCTATATAATATAGTCGTCCGATTTTGAACAATTACTCCGTGGTTTTTATATTGAAAACCTTATACCCTAGATTGACAATCAATATGTTTCACGCCACCAATTAAATTATTTACCATGTGTGTATACAAAATATATTTTCAGGGCCAATCGAATTTTCGAAATTGGCAATTTCGTTCGAATAGATAAAAATAGAGACGCATATAAGTAGATATATAAGAAGTACATCGAAATATTCCTTCTTTGCTGCATCGAAATTACAATATAGTTCCAAATTTTGGTGTTACTAACAATGAATAATAGGTTACTTAAGAAAGCTTCACTGAAAACATTCGAAAATTATGCGATGCAGTCAAAGGCTTGCATAAGAGCTTATATCTTGGTATAGCTAGGATAGGAATTAGTCTGGTGGGTTGCCGGCGGGATCAGCGGGCGCTGGATCTCACTGGACGCCTGGATCTGCTTGAAGAGCGAGTAGATGCCGTAGTAGAGATACCATCCGAGCACTGAAAAGAGCAAACAGAGAACGATTATTCTCGTGTCCGAGTCTAATTACAGAATGATCCCAGGCCCCCGAGCGATAAGCGCTATGGGGAACCACAATTTCACAACAAAAGCTGTGTGTGTGTATACCCATTTCCAGAAACAGGGCGTATATATACAAACATATGCACATATGTGAGTGCATGTGGATGAGTCACGTAAATCTTACCAAGAACCAGCACAGACAGCAAGATAATTGGAAGAGCGTTGAACAAGGGCACCGATGATCCGATGATCTCGGCCCACAGGCCAATATGGGTGATAACCGCAAAGGCCAGCATCACTCCGTTGTTGATCAGCCAAGGAAGCAGGAGCAGATGGCGTTCCTGAAAAGTCAGAAAAAGTTATAGAACTGTCTTTGAAAGCGCGGATCTTCATAACTAGAGATAAAGCACGACTTACCTTAACGGTACCAAGGACCAACATGGCCGAGGCCAGGAGATTGATCATCTTCAGGGCCAGGGAGACACTGAAAAGTATGACGAGCACTGGAAAAGAACGCAAATAAATATCTTTGTCGCCCTGTGGATGCCCTTTCTGATTAACCCTTACCGGTGCGAACCTCGCTGAGGGTCATTTCCGTATTTTTCTGGGTGTCGACGATCTGCTGCGCAATTTCATCAACGAATCCAAGGCCCACGGACAAAAGGATCGTGGCCAAGAAGGAGAAAATCACGCCCAGCCATCCAATAACAACACCGTAGGTGTTCAGCCGCATACCAAAGACGGAGGTCAACATTTTTGCTGGAATTCTAATATTTGCGATTGCGGAGAAGAAACTCAGAACCTTTTTAGTTTGCCGGCGCAGCGAAAATGCAATTGCTAAATAAGTCGCAGTTCTCTGACAACTGAAAGCTTTCGAGGAACGGCGTTGCCAGATCGATGGAAATAGCGCACGTAGAAAAACTGTGACTGGTTCACTAACGTCGCATGTTACTTTTTGAAGTTACTTGGTTAAATAATCTCCATTATTTATGTACGCTTTATAGGCTTTAACGTCTTGTTAACTTTGTTGTCATATTAGTTTTTTTAAGTTGAGTATAAATTTAATTCATTGCTTTGAATTTGGGTAACGAATTAAAGTTACTAAAACTTAAGAACTTAAAATCAAAAAAGATCTCTGAACAAAATGTTACATTACTTCGAAATAGAGCTTTTTTGCTCAAAGCTTCATTGAATTTTTCAAAAACAATTGCGCTATGGTTAGCGACAGCAAAGCGCTATATTTTTAAAAAAGTATTAATTCCCTTGCCACATCGTTTCAGCGCTCATTAAAAATATCTTGGGAAATAAAAGCTGATAAAGAAAAATTTTATTTTAATGTTTATTTCTGATGCCAACTACTTGATAAACGTTTGTATACACTGCCCCAATATATACAAACTAAGAACATTTAAAAGTTATTGAGGGTTTTAGAGGCAGCATTAAAATATAATATTTTTGATAGTTTGATCTTCCGAAACGAAAAAGTCAAGTATGACCAAATATGATGACGTTCAGTTTATAATTCTAGTAAGTATGCATTTTGCCTGCAAGCACTTCTCCTCACCCACATTGTTTGTTGTTCCGGTGCTCTCCCAATTGTATTCACTCACTTACACTAGGCAACAGGTGGCCGCTTTCTGATGACTTCCACAGTACAAAAGAATTTTAAAAGAAATCAGAAGTATTTATGTGTTATAATGGATTTTTCTGGTGCTTAAACATACCTCAAAAGTTAAATATTTTAATTCTTTGTAGTTTTTCTACAAAAAACCTTTTACTAGCTAAGAAAATAAAAAATCTATGGCCTAGTAGGAACATTATTGGGGTAGATTTTTTCATCAAAAGGCCCCATACCAAAGCCTATTACGTAAACAATATTTTGTCTGATTTCTACCCACCTATCACACTATTTATCTAGTGATTCAACCCTCATCTCAAGCACAAAAGATTACGTTAACTTATTGAAGAAATTTACTTAGGTTTATGTTTAAAAGAAAGCCAAAAATGTCATTTGATGGACATTTTTAGATTCCAAATGAAATATATTTTTGTTGCTTAGTTTCGCCCAACTGTTGCTTCTCAGAGACCACGGCTTTTTGTATTCAGTTTACCATTGAGTCTTGCCCAGTGCGGTCGTGTTTCCGTGCGCTCAGAGATCCCAAACCGGTTTTGTGCCATAATATTGTTTTTCTTCTCAAAGTGTTTTTTGCGTACCAAATCCCAAAATGAAAATCGACCTTACTGTGGAAAGGGGCCCTTGCAACACTGATTTGCGGAGTTGGTGTCTGGGAATTGCGATCTACTGGCTAATTAGCACGACTTTTAGCGTCATTTTCGCTCCAAATGGTAGGAGAAATTCGAGGCGTGGCATTTGTTTATTTCCATAAACGGAAACCATAGGTTTTTATATCAGAAAATTCAAATTGTCATATCATCTAGACAAAACAAGAGAATGAGCTAATCCATTCGAGACAAACGCGTTTTATCACATCCATCGATGACGACATCGGTGACCAAATCGGGCAAGCGTTTCATTCTAGATGTGTACATACTAAAAGGCTTACATTTGGATGGTATATAATATTCTCTAACCCAAAAAACAAAAGTAACAATTTGCTGATTCTTCATCTCAATCTTTTGCGTTTTCAAACGCATTTATGTGATAAGATTACTTACAATTATTTAAGTATTCCTTATTGTGATTATGCCCAGGGATGATCTTAGTGTCGGAAATTATATGGTGTATATTTAAGTTTCTATTCTACTCTTTCTGCTCATTCTACTTTTGAAAAAAATGTTAGGACGTATAAAGATTTATTTAAAAAATTATATTATTACTATTACCCGATCTAATGTGTAAAATATTTATTTTCTGAGCCGAAGAAGCTTCAGAATTTAGCACCTTTAAAGCTTGTAAGCGTGGGTAGACATTGACTCATATTTATTTTAATCTACCGAGCGCCTAATAAAATAATTTGTTGTCTTTGCAGTTCTCAACTTTGTTGGTTTTGCAATTGTTGTAATCGCCAATATTTGTTTGTTGATCGGCACCCTAAGGGTAAGTATACTAAATTATTTATTTAACACATCCTCTTTCTTTACTTAACGAATCATAAACCCTTATCAAATGCAGGAAAAGCATATTTTGGTCTTCGTCTGGCTGATATTCGCTGCAATCGAAGCCATTAGCTTTCCGTTTGCCGTTTTCGGTGTTATCTTCCACTACGGAGGATACCGCGAAGCCACTGGAATAAATAACGTTTTTGGCGCCCTGCTCGTGTACATCATTACGTTCTGTGAGTAATGCTCTTACAATAAGTATGTGTTCATCATTTAATAAAAATTCTTCTCTACCCTTACAGTACTTATCGCCTTCAGCGCCCGTATTGTGTACTCCTTCTACCTCCAGCTGAAGAATAACGACGCCAACAAGCAAGCCCCACGCACCCTAAACGTGGTTTAGGGGCCTAAAGATTGCCATTTTCGGTTTTGTCTTCGGAGAATACCGCGAGGCGACTCGAAAGCATAATTTTTTGGCGCTCTGCCAGCTGGAGAACAGCGAGTCCACCAAACAAACCCCACGCTCCCTGAGCGTGGTTTAGTTTTCTACTACTAGATTATTTATTGGGGAATCCCTACCATGTTCTTCTCAACTCAGTGTTTGCAATAAAATGCGATTTTATTTTATTTGATTGCAGTTTGTCGTTATACACATCTCTTATTCACATCGACTCGGGAGCAACTATCAACAGTTAAATACATTGGTTACATATACATACAGGGTGCTATTGGCTATTAGGCTACCGCGTTCTTAAACATTCAACATTTAAAACGATAGATCACTTTACAGACAGTTGTACACTCGACCCGGGGTTCTATCTATATAGCTAGCTATCATACTCGGCATCGTCTTCTGCTGCATATCTTACTTAGACATAAAATGGAAAGTTGGTCTTCTTATTGTTGCTGCTGTCATTGGTGTTTTGGGTCTGCGTAAAGCTCGTCTCGGCATTTTGGCTGGTCAGCTTGGCCTGCACGGCGGCCAGGATGCGGGCTGCCTGGCCACCACTTCCCGGCTCCATGGCAGACTCCACACCCAGATTAAGATTCAGCTTGAGCTCGAACAGGGACCCACTCGCTTGGATCTGCGACTGTGTCTGCCGGTGGGCAACGGCCGGTTTTCATCTTGGCGTGGTTATGCTGGGAAGCTTCTCCAGGAAATCGTTGGCCAGTACCTCCTCGATCTCATGCAGGCAGTTAGCCACGTCGTTCTCTGTGTCGGCGAAGTTACGTGGCTGGGGGCAACTTATGCCCAGCGTGGTGAAGAAGGCATACAGCTCCTGCAGCGACTGCAGTTGCTGGAAGTGCAACATGAGATGTCTATTGCTGGGACGTTGCAGAACCTGGAATAAGCCCAATAACTAGTTAATCGATTGAATCAACTGAATAGGGAGAGAATATCTTACCGGTGATTGACTGGTGTACTTCATATCCATCAGCCTGGCCACACGGCTCACATGCGGCACATACAGTGCGGTGGGCAAGGTGGCCAGGTTCTCCAAGCTTCCGTTGGGCAGACGCACCTCCTCCTCGTGCACATCGAACTCGGTGCCCACAAAAGCCCATCGGTACATCTGGAAATGTGGCAGCTTGGTAGCGGGCAGCACGCATCCCAGTTCCAGGAGCTTGCAGGCCTCCAGCTGCACCGATCGCCAATGCTGCATCGGCGTCTGGGAATTGTAGCCATTGCTAGCTCCTGAGGCAGAGGACCAGGACACATCAATTCCCGAAGGCATACGCATTTGTTGGCTGCAATAGAGGTTCAACACATAGTTTGATTAACTAAACTCTTTTTCGATTGGCTGTGTTAACTTACTTTCTTTCTTCGCTCTCCGACTTCAGTTCCTGTTCCATTTGCAGAAACACTTGCACCATTTCCGCTATGATTATGGGCCACAGCGAGGTGACGTGGTCAGGTGACATGCGTAGGAGCAGCACACGGAAGCACAGGAAAACGGCTGCCTGTACTGAAGGTCCCATGGGAACAAGTCGCAGACTGTTAGCCAGTTGCTCTGTGGTAAAAAAAGAAGTTCGTGATTAAGTAAACTAATTCCCTAAAGTAGCACCAATGGGCAATAAAAAATAATTAACTCCTGAACATATAAAATTTCTTAGTGTTGGCTCGAATTTTGTATTCCCAAAACTATGCCTCATTCAAATAAAAAACTCGCACTCACCCTGGATGTCCGGCATGTACTTGTTGTGCTGGTCGAACTCGCTGCAGTAGATGACGAAGGCGAGTCGCTTGAGCAGCATGGCCCGCTGCTCATACTCCTGATCCCGCGACGTGAAGATGTTCAGACTGCCCGCCTGGGAAAGTGAGACGCGGGTCATCAGCTCCCGGAACGTTGTGTTGTCGTAGGTCATCAGACTATCCATGATCATGCGCCAGAAGGGCAGGCACGAGAGGTGCATCTGGAAGAAGGCGTTGTCCAGCAGGAGATCCAGCATATCCTTCCGCCACGCCTTCCTGGTGTACTGGTAGCCACTCAGGCTGGCCAGCAGAGCGGAGCAAGCGTAGAAAAAGGGGACGTTCCGAGCAGTGTGGTTCTTCAAATACGGGGTTATATTGTAAAGCAGCGGCGTCACTATGTTGACCACCTTGTCCTTCTCCTGGGAGCCGTAGGCCACGTCCAGTAGGTTAGAGAGTATGGCTGCTAGAACACTCTGAGCCTGCAGCGAATACTGCTGAAGTCCTCCACCTCCAACGCTGTTATCCTTGGCCAACCCATCAGTATCTTCTTTTACGGCCAGGTTACGGCGCAGCCAGGTGGTCTGCTCTAAACAGGATC